CTCTGAGCTCCTGATTTGATCGACTGTTCAGTCACTAAATCATGTCCAACTCTGCAACCCCATGGACGGCAACACGCCAGGCTTCCCTGTCCTTCACTATTTCCTGTAGTTTGCTTAAATTCACATCCATTGAGTCAGTGATGCTATCTAACCACCTCATCCTCTGCCACCCCCTTCTCCTCCTGCCTTCAATCTTTCCCAGCATCAGGGTCTTTCCCAATGAGTCAGCTCTTCCCATCAGGTGGCCAAAGTACTGGAGCTTCAGCTTCAGCATCGGCCCTTCCAATGAATATTCAGGGTTGATTTCCTTTATGATTAACTGGTTTGACCTCCTTGCAGTCCAAGGGACTCTCAAGAGTCTTCTCCAGCACCACAGTTCAAAAGCATTAATTCTTTGACACTCAGCCTTCTTTATGGTCCAGCTCTCCTATCTGTACGTGACTACTGGAAAAACCATGAAGTGAAGTGAAAAGTCGCTCAGTCATGTCTGGCTCTTTGAGACCCCATGGACTATACAGTCCGTGGGATTCTCCAGGCCAGAATACTAGAGTGGGTAGCATTTCCCTTCTCCAGGGGATTGTCCCAACCCAGGGATTGAAGCCAGGTCTTCTGCATTGCAGGCAGATTCTTTACCAGCTGAGCCACCAGGGAAGCCCCATAGCTTTGACTATACGGACTTTTGTCAGCAAAGTAAGACTCTGCTCTTTAATATGCCATCGAGGTTTGTCATAGCTTTCCTTCCAAGGGGCAATTATGGCCCCCGTCCCTAACCTCAGTCTTTTGAAAAGCCCTCCTCCCTCTGAGGAAGTTTTCAAGTCCTGGGGATGCTTGATAAATGGCCCTTAACGTTGAACCCAGGTGCCCACCAAAAATATCTTGGCAAAGAATTAGCAGTGAAATGAATGGGGTCACTTCCAAACAAGCTGAATGTGCACAATTGCATCAATTCTAGAAACTTCTGGAAGAGCTGTAGGGGCCATCAGGTGGTTTCAGGGAAGGAGCTCATATTCTGGCCCCAGCCACCCCCACACCTCATTCTCAGAGCTTCATAGGAAACCCACCCCCGTTCCCAATCTTACTTTTCTTACCTGTAAAATAAAGGATTTGAACTTTGGGCAACTCCGTCTCAGAAACTAAATTTGGTAGGGATTGAATGAGACAATTTATGGTTTGGGTTGGTCAGTCAAGAGGATTGATTTTTCTAAGGAAACCCAGGCGACCTCATTATGTGCCAACTTAAAAATGCTGCTTGTCCTGGCTGACAGAGCACCGCTTCCTACTGAAGATCTGGCATCCACCCCCATTCCTGTAAAAAGCAACTTCTTAATCCGACAGCTCATTGTTGTTCATGTCTCTGTCTTCATCTAGTTCTGCCACAGAGATAGAGAATATCAGAATCCCAGGGTCTCTCAATCCAAGCCCTTTGTAAAAACCCTCTGGGCTGTAAGTAACAGAAACCAAACTCAACCCAACATAAACAATAAAGGGAATTTATTGGCTTGTGTAACAAAACCATCCACAGGCAGGGCCAGTCACAGGCAAAGATAGATCCTATACTTAACAGCATCACCAAGGGCCTGGTTTCTTTCTGCCTCCTGACTCTCCCTTCAGTTGTCAGCTTCATGCTGGGAGGGGTCCCCTCCAGGATTCCCAAGACAGCCACTGTCAAGACCCAAGGTTACCTACTTCTTTGTTCACATCTAGCAAGGTGAATAAAAACAGCCTTTACTCAACATTTCCAGAAAAAAGTCTTGAAATTCCCTCTGGCTCCATTGCCTTAGGAAACATGACCATCACTATAGCCAGGGAGATGGGATGAGGTGTGGGCTTAGTCCAGGTCATGCATCCCACCCCAGAAATGATGACAGAGACAGCTCTAGCAGAGCATAACCTGCCCCTGCCAAGGAATATCAGGGGCTGCTGGGAAAGGAAATGGGGAAATTAACATAAGGGATGCAACCAACAGCCTCCAACTCATCTCTCATTTTACAGATGGGGAACTGAGACCAGAGAGAGAAAAGGCTTGTTCTAAGATCACAGCAGAGAAGAACTGGACCATGACCCACCCCTTTAATCTGCAGACTTGATCCTATTTCCACTCTATTCTAATTCAACCTTATTCAGGCCAACTCGGGAAATATTGAGTGCTCATCAATATGGATTCAGACCAATCAATTTCTCCCGAAACCTTAATGAACTACTTTGGAAGCATCACATTTTAAACACCTCCAACAAATTTCCAGTCAAAAGAAAACAAACCTGAGTCCCAGGAATTCTTGCAGCCACAAAGATCAACCTCAGCACTTCTATCTCCCATCTTGGGGCACCCTAAGAACCAAGTGGCTCCTGTTACTTTTAAGGGGAAAAAATGCATTCTGGTGTGCAAACATTCTCGCATATTCATGCACTCCAAATCTAATTTTAGCTGCACGAGACTTCATTATAAGACACTCACATAATTAAGCAGTTTTCTTCCCAGGGTTTGGAAGCCTGTCTATTCTTCTCTCTCATTAACACATCACTGGGATTATCAAGAATGAGTTTTAGTTTTTTCAAATTATATATTTTGATTTTTCCAAATTGATCCACAACAGGAGATGAAATCCATGAAAATTACATGTTTTAGCACAGGTTTGTGCAACTCCACAGCCTGGCTATTAAAATTGGAATCTGTAAACAGGAGTTCTCTGTTCTGGTCTGATTAGCTACATCTGCCATGCTTCTCTCCTAAATTCAAGCCTGTTTTACTCCTTCGCTGGCTGGGACAGCATCCTCTTTATGGAGAAGCTGAGAGCTAGAGATGAGACCTAACTTGGAGAAGGACAAACACTTTCCCAAAAGAACAGACACATCCCCTTCCCGTGCTCCTCAGGAGCTGGGGGATGACTGCTGAGAACCATCAGCACATGGGGCCTTGACAGCTTACTCACCCACCGTCCAGGATCAGGTGTCTTGCCAGGTGGACTGACTCAACACGATGCACCCCGATTCCATCATTCCACTTATCTGCATGCCTGGCTAAGGTGCACAGTAAACTCCAAGGCCATCTGAGCAAGTGGCCCTCCAGCTGGAAGGAGCGAGGGTCTCTGGGTACGTGGCACCAGGGAACAGACTCATCATCTCCCAGGAAGAACGGGCTGGGACTGCTGTCCTCCTGAGCCCTGGGGTGGCGGGGGAAGCCCAGAGGGCCATGCCCTGGCTGTGGTCCTAGTCGGTCCTCCAGCCACTTCACTGCCCTGTGCAGACTCCTTAACATTTGAGTCTTCTCCCCAGAGACTGTCTGGGTGGCCAGGAGAGTGAGGGTCGCTGCCAGGGAGCCAGTCTCTGGATTGGCTTCCCTCTCCTCCATCACTCAGGGCTGTAGTCTCCTTTGAGTTTCTAGGTTCACTCTGGGATGCAGGTATTCCCTGGGCCCCCTTCCAAGGCAGGGTGAAAACGCCTGGTGGATTTCAACTGCTCCTGCTACTCAGGAGAATCAGCCTCATCAGGGCTCATCACATACTTGATCCTCGAGCCCTGCTGTTTCAATAATTGCTTATCAAGACCCTGGAGTTTTCAGCCTTGAGCTGAGCCCCAGCAATGCTTTAGGAGGATCTAAAATGGCCTCAGCATCAGTGTGGGTTTGGGGGAGACTCAAAAAGAACTTGGAGGCCACCAGGAATGGATGCTCAAGGCCATTCATTAAAAATTGAAAGCTAGGGAGGCTTCCCTCTGAGGAAGGCCCTCTCCTGCAGGGCCCTCAGCTCTGCCTACCCCCACTAGGGTGATGTCAGTTCCCCATCTCCAGCCAGGGAGCAGATGGTCCCATATTCCCACTCCTGGCTTTCCCAACCCCCTCACCCAGCTTTCTCCTGCTGATGCAGAGGTCAGACCAGCAGGCCCGGCCCAGGCCTGGAGAAGATGCAGAGGGACTCAGGGGCGGCCCACGTTCAAGTCCATCCACCTTTCTCCCTCAGTGTGGCCGAGCTCTCGACAGCCCTCCCTGGGTCCCATTTGTCCTGGCTGTGCTCCCAGCTTCACCTCACCCTCTAGACTTCAGTCCCCTGATCTCTGCAGCCCCATTTCTGAGCCCAGGACATGTAGCGCAGGGTGACCCAAGAAGGTAATTAGCATCAGCACCCTCCCCCTCCCACACTGAGCACTAGCTGGCTGTAAGGAGAATCCTTTTCTCTGTCCCCTCCTCCGTTCTCACCCACCCACTCCCACCTTCCTCTTGCACAGACTTAGAGGCACGTGCCCATACCCACTCACCTGTTCTCAAAACACACAAGGGTCTTTCCAAGCCTCTGAGCCTTTGTACATGCTGTTCCCTCTGCTTCAATTCCCCTTCCCCTTGGCTCCACTGGAATAATTTCTACAGATTCCTCAGGACCAGTTCAAAGCCGCTGCAATGCATTCTCTGACCCCCACACCCAGCACACACACTCCTCTCTTGCTGGGTTTATCACTCCCCTCCCCCAGCCCCTCTAAACCCTGAGCTGTGAGGAGGAGACTGTCTTCTCAGGAGGCCTGTAAGCTCATACACAGCAGTGCCCAGTAGCTCCAGTTTCCCGTATCCCCGAATGGGAAAGATGTCAGTGTCACGAAAACGGAGACAGAGGCTGTGACAAAGAGACCCAGTGACAGGAAGTGGAGGGTGAATAACAGAGGGACAAAGAGGGCTGGCAGATAGGGGGTCAGGCAGAAGCGGCAGACTTGCCTCTCCCCCCAGGGTCTTGATGGGCCATGCCGCCCCCCACTTCCTCATGACCAAGAGTGGGGTGATCCCGCACAGAGCTGTCAAGATGGGTGGAGCAACCAGCCCAGTGGCCCCCAAGACTCATCTCTCCTGGGTCTGCCCAGCCCAAGCGCCCCCTCCACTGGCACTCATGGCATATAGGCCCTATCCTGGAGTCCCAGCCCCCTCCCACCCAACCCCCCTCTCCTACACCCTGTTTCTGGGATAAGGCGTGAGTCCCCAGCTTTATGGGGAGAGTCGGAGAAAGAAGCCAGGCAAGGAGGCACCAGTTCAAGGAGTGCTGATATTGGATGGGATGGTGGGGGGTGCACAGAATTTGCAGCCGGTCCTGAGGTGGGGGTGTCTGTGGGCGGCTCAGCTCTGCCTGTATCACCACCAGCCCATCCACAGAGAAGGGAGAGGCCGGGCTATAGAGCTGGTCATCACACCACACACACTGGGGGATGCAGACGTGTGGCTCAGGGCTGCCTGGCCTGGCGGCCATAGACTGTGAGCCTGTCTCCAGGCCAGGGTTCTGGCTCCTTGGGGCTCCAAGCCCACCCAGCCCAGCATCCTGCAGTCAAAGCCCCTGGCCAGCAAGCCTGCACCAGGCTGGCAACAGGAAACCCCGGGTCCCTGGGAACTCGGGGTGCACGTGTGTGTCAGTGTGTTGGAGAGACAGACAGGCAGCCCCTGGGAACACAACCTGGTGTTGGCATGCCTGCACTGACGTTTGTGTTTGCAAGTCAAAGAGTGTCAGGCACGCCCAGGGTGGTGGCTTAGGCGCATTAACGGGACACCGTGAGCGGAGAGGGGCAGGTCTAAGCGGGTCTGGCGAGGAGTGTGTGTCCCTTTGCATCTGTCCTATGACATCGGGTCTACCGGCCAGGAGTCAGGCCCAGGTGTCCCTGTGCCGCAGAGACGCAGCCCCAGGGCGGGCCTCCGTGCAGATGGCACAGCCCCCTCCCCTGAGCATCCCGCGGAGGCAGCGGCAGGCGAGCATCCCAGCGAGCACGTGCGCGGCCCGTGGAGGCAGCCGGCTCCCGGTGGGGCGGGCAGAGCGGGCTTGGAGCCTATCATCTGGGCACGTACTCCCGGGGCAGCCCGGCCCAGTTGTGGTCGCGCAGGGCCTGATCCACCGTCCGGATGTAGCCGTTGATCAAGTTCTTCATCTCGGGGGTGAAGGGCTCGGGGTCGTGCGGGCGCCGGCCGCGCCGCCGGAAGCTGCCCTCCTTGTTGTTCTCCACGCAGAGCAGGCGCTCCTCGCTCACGGACACGTTGAGGAAGGCCACCATCTCCCGCAGCGTGGGCACCAGGCTGCGCCTCAGCTCCTCGTAGTGAACCACCAGCAGTCGTTTGCCGTATTTCAGCCAGTCCAGCACGTGCGAGGACCACCACGACGCGTAGCTGTTGACAAAGTCCGGCCACTCTGCGTGGGAAAAGAAGGGGCGCCGTGTCACAGCCCGGCCTGGCAGGCCTGGGGCCTCCCCTCCTGGGGGCCAGGATGCTCCATCCCCCTCTGCCTGGGACCAACCTGCCTGGATCCCCCCACCAGGGAAGGATCTCGTTAGGGGTGACCTCGTGAGGGGGACAGTTATTATGAGGCTGGGCTCTGAAGAGCCCCAAGCCTGCCTGGGAGATGTGACATTGGGTCCACCTTCCCCTAGCAGTTTCCATGGAAACACACCAAGACACATGGGGTCTGAGTGTTGCAAGAACTGGTTCTCCCTCTGATGGACCTTGACCTCTGGGACCATCCCTGGGCAGGAAGAGCCCAGGATCTCAGGCCTATGGGACACAGCAGAGTTAGACAAGCAAGCCTGGGCATCTCTGTTGAGATGACTCTCAGTTCACCTTGATGTTGCCTTGGCAACTGTGCACATCATCCACTCTGGGTGATGGGAGCCGAGCAGTGTGTGGGGGGCAGATGCTGGGCCTCTCAAGGACGTAAAGATGCTGTGCAGGCTGGGTTTTCCTGTCCCGGGTGCTCCTGTGCAGCTTCATGAATGGGGTGCCTAATTGATGCTTATTGACACATGGGTATGGTCACTGGTTTAACCAGTGATGTACAAAGAGGCAAGGGCTGGGACAGCTGCAATCTTGGACAGATGATCTGGTCCATGAGATTTTTTTTTTCCAGCAAAAATTTACAAAGTCAGTGCCTCACCTCAGTGGAGAGAAGGGTGCCAATATCAAGAATCACCACCAACAAAATAAGCTTCCATAACTGGGTTATTATGCTGTGCTCAGGCACTCGGCCGTATTTGACCCTTGTGACCCCGTGGACTGAAGCCCACTAGGCTCCTCTGTCCATGGAATTTTCCAGGCAAGAATACTGGAGTGGGTTACCATTTCCTCCTCCAGGGGATCTTCCCGACCCAGGGATCGAACCCTTGTCTCTTGCGTCTCCTGCATTGGCAGGTGGATTCTTTATCACTAGCGCCGCTCTCCAATGCTGTGGGAAGCATTTGCTTTCTCTGATCTTAACGACCCTAAGAGGTAGGGGCCATAGGGTTTTACGGTGAGAAAAGCAAGGCTCAGAAGACAAGGTCTGAATCTTGCCTGGGGTCACTGGGCTGGTAAGAGGCCCAGGAGGGATCAGAGTTCAGCCTGCCCGCTGGCTCAAGGGGAGTCAGTGGGAGGCAGGGATGGCTGGGGAGGGGAGTGGCCTAAGGGGAGGGAATGGGGAGAACACCCACCAGCCTCAGCTGATCACACAGGGACAGAAGCAGGAGCCTGCCCGGCCTCGTGTCTCATCACACCACCCACTCTGCTGGACACAGCTGTATTTCTGACAGCTTCGTTTTGTGTGTATCACTCATCGCCCTGACTTGTGTCTCTCTATCCATTACCCAAAGGTTAGACTGTGTGCCCACCTTGAGGGTGGCAATTGTGATCCCTTTAGCCAACCCCTGGTGCCTCACCCAGCACCTGGCACACAGTAGGACTTTGGTTAGTATGTGTCAGCAGATGACTCCAGGTATAAAGAGGCAGCCCGTCCCCTGCCTTGCCAGCCCCTTTGGCTCACCTTTGCTCTTCCAGTTGCGGTCAGCTGCATAGCCCAGGTGCCCGGCGCATTTCCTGTTGAACTCGGCCACCAGGGACCTGTACGGGTTCCGGATGAGCAGGATGGCCGAGTCGAACATCTCAATCTCCCTCCTGCCACTCTCATGGGTCTTCACGCAGATGGTACGCCGGCTGCGCCAGTGGTCCTTCTCACCCTTGAACCCTGCCCGTAAGAAAGGCATCATGGAGACCCCACTGCCACAGCGGCAGACAGGTATGAATGCTAACTTGTGCCCCCAGGGAGAGCCAACACTGGTGGGCACTGAGGGGCCACTGGTGCGGCTTCTAACCACAGGGCCTGATCCTGCCCGAGAGACAGTGAGAGAGGAAGGCATCTAAGTGGGGAAAGATGGCATCTGCAAGAGAAAGCAGATCAGGCACCTCCTGTGGGTCCCGGAAGTCAGGAGGCAGGGGCCTGACAATGCATCCATTTGGGCACCTTCATGTCTATTTCACATGAGCATTGCAAAGAGCTGGGTGAATGAACCAGAGCTGCAGGTTCAGAGTGGGTATGTGACTTGCTCAAGATCACACAGCACCACAGTATCAGAGCCAGGGCTCTCTCCATGTGGCTTTGTGTGTCCCTGGGAGGCCTTTGCCATCTACCCACCTTCCCATGGAGTGGGCGGGATCCCCATCAACAGGCTCAAGGGTGGTCAGCAGCTGTAGCCCCACCCTCTGACCTTATGTCCTGTAACTGAGCTCCAGTCTTGCATCCATGGAGACTCTCCCCAGCCCTATGCAGCATCATGCATTTATCAACAAAGATCATCGTGTGCCCATGCCATGCTGAACTTCATGTCATGGATAAAGGGGGTAAGACTCAGAGTCTGTCTTTAAGCTTATAGTCTATTGGGGGGAGGGCAGGTGGTTCAGTGGTAAGGAATCTACCTCCAATGCAGGAGACTTGGGTTTGACCCCTGGGATGGGAAGATCCCCCAGAGAAGGAAAAGGCAACCTGCTCCAGTATTCTTGCCTGGAGAATCCCATGGACCGCAGAGCCTGGCAGACTATAGTCCATGGGGTTGTAAAGAGTTGGACACAACTTAGAGAAAAAATAACAACAACAGCTATTTGGGGGACAGCCCAAGTGTATGTAATACAGAGGATAGGTGCTTATGGGGACAAAGAGTAGGGGGACCAGTTTGGAAGTGTGGTGGGAGGTAATAGAAGACTTCCTGCAAAGATGTCCCCTGAAGCTAATCTCCTGGCCACATCCCAACATAGACCATGCCATCAGCTCTGGGGACACGATAATTAAATGTACATGAGTTGGTCTTCAGCTCTTGGAAACATAAAGGAGTCCCACCCCCACCCCCACGAATGGCTGGGAAGCATCTATATCTATAGCCAGCAGCGAGGGAGTCTTTGATGCCTGGAAAATGCAAGTCTCTTTTGAATCTGGAAGTCTGGGGTCACTAGCTGAAACTCAACATATGTTTTCAAACTCATCTCTGCCATGGGCCAAACACCAAAAGTCTTTGATTTGATTCATTCTGTCAAACAGCTGGGAAGTTCCAGGAAAGAGTGAGTCAGTGCATGGGCCGAGGAAGCATGCGATATGGTCTTTGACACCCTGAGAGCCAGGGTGTCTTTTGTACTGTCTCAGCCTAATTCAGCAGTGACCACTTTTCCTTATAACTCAGACCAGGCTCACCCATAACAGGTTTGGTGTTTGGGCACTGGAGTTGCCTTGAGAATTTCATGTGTGCATGTGTGTGTGCACATGCATGTGTGTGTTCATTGCTCTGACAGTGCTCTGTGACCTGTGCCTATACCTAACCAGTCCCGTAAGGCTCAAAGATGCATCCAGGTATCTCTAGAGCCATTAAAAGACAGTGTCACTGCAACCCTTAATACCTGGCTGTCGAGCCACTGGGTCACTTAGCCATGTGTTGACCAAGACAGCCAGCTGTTTGAATAAGGTAAAGGCCTCCTAGATGAATATGGTGGGCATCTGCGGCCTGTACACAGTAGGTTGTTCCCAGGGGACTAGACCAGAGTGAGCAGGACCACAGTCTTCATCTGGTTACTTTGCCAATAGGTGCTGTAACACTCCAGGCTCCCAAGGATGAGCTTCCCTGGTGGCTCAGTGGTAAAGAATTCGCCTGCTGATGCAGGAGATGCAGGTTTGATCTCCAGTTCGGGAAGATTCCAAATGCCGCGGAGCAACTAAGCCCATGAGCCACAACCACTGAGCCTGAGTGCCCCAGAGCCTGTGCCCTGCAACAGGAGAAGCCACAGCAATGAGAAGTCCTTTCACCGCAACTAGAGAGTAACCCCTGCTCACCACTAGAGAAAAGTTCAGCAACAAAGACCCGGTATGACCAAAAACAAACAAATAAATAAACACATAAAAAGAAAACCAACCATCAAGGTTTGTGCTACATAATACTAATAAATAAACATGGTTTCAGAAAAAGTTTTTAAAAAGACTCCCAACTATGATGAGATTGGGTTATATGGACACCCGTGGCTTTTTTACCAACCAGATCAAGACTGCTGTGGGTAATCACAGAACCTTAGGAACTTTCTATTTTCTCCAGGATGTTACTGATAGGATCCTCTTTCCCTAAGCCAAACTCTGAGCTAAGAATCCCTGAGAAACTGTTGTAACACCTGACAACAGAGAAATCTATTTCACCAAATATGTATCCCACTTGGCTTATCTGAGGTTCTTAGTCTTAAACAGCGCACAGATTTGAGCCGTTTTAAAGTTCATTTACTTGACATAATGAGGCCTCTTATTTCTACAAGAGAAATATTAGAAATCATTAAACTCTTGAAGATTTTTGGACCTAGTTTTAAGAAACAGTATTTTGATAAGCTACATTTACCTCGGGGCGGAGGGGGAATGAACAGATGAAGTCAGTTTCCCCTAATTATTGAGGGTTGTAAAAATTAAGGAAAACTTAAAAACTGTTTATTGAGAGGGAATCTAAGTGACTAGGGTTTCCCTTTGAATCCAGATCAGATCTTGTGAATTTCCTCTCAAAGTGTGGTCCTAGAGCTGACTGCTTCAGCATCACACAGGAGCTTGTTAGAAATGCCAGTTCCTAGGCCCCATCTCAGACTAATTGAGTCATACTCTCTTGGTGGTGGGATGGGTACAAACCAGGAATCTATGTTGAAATAATAAGCCCTCAAGGTATTGCTTAGGGCTTCCCAGGTGGCTCAGTGGTACAGAATCTGCCTGCCAATGAGGAGATACAGGAGACGCCAGTTCGATCCCTGGGTTGGGAAGATACCCTGGAGGAGGAAATGGCTACCCACTCCAGTATTCTTGCCTGGAAAATTCCATGGACAGAGGAGCCTGGCGGGCAACAGTCCCTGGGGTCGCAAAGAGTCCGATGTGACTTAACGACTGAGCATGCACACACAAGCTGATGCTGACACGTTCAAGAGTGAGAAGCACAGCTCTGGTGCTCCAGGAGGGCCTGCGCTGCAGAGGCGGGGGTCTGGGCCTGAGAGCTACCTCCTCCCCCCCGGCAGCCCTCGCTCACCTTTGTTGTAGAGAGTTCCGTCGAAGTAGTAGCTGCCTGTATAGAAGCCGGTGGCATGCTCGATGAGGTGCCGCGCCCACGTGTTCCCAGCTCCGGGGAAGCTCGACAGAGCCACAAACACCTTGGATTTGGTGGGCAGGAACCTCCGGTCTGTGCATCGAGTGTCTGAAAGTCCAGAAGTCATCTCAGGGTTCCCCATTTCCACTGTGACCCCCAGACTCACTGCCCGACTCCTCTTGGCAGGAAGTGCAGACCCAAGCCTCCCATTTAATGGAATGGGAAAACTAAGGCTCAAAGAGGGGAAGGGATGTGCCACCTGGCTTGGCTGCACGGGTCCGTGGCTGGCCAGAGAGAGCCCCAGTGATGACAAGACCTCCCACTGGACGAGTCTAGTGGGGATCAGTGCCCTGCGGGTGCCCCACCTTGTCTTTCAAGAGGTCACAGCCGAACCCTCCTGGCCCAGCTCAGATAATTCCAGACTCTGCAGGGGAGGTGGGTTGGGGGTCGTGGCCAGGCAGAACAATGTCTCACACCAGGTAGAACAGCAAGGAATCAGGATTCAGAACTTCCGGTGTTAACTCTCTGTGCCCCCTCTTTCTGGGAGGCCCCCTAGCGCTGTGTCAGGGCACATGGAACCCTCTGGTGACTGTCTCCTAAGACCCCAGGGCTGTGCTGAGTCACCGTAGGTGTTTGATAAAGGTGACAGTGACCTTCCCCAGCTGCTCTTCTTCTTATCAGCCCCTAAGGTCAGCTGGGGCAGACCTGCTTCTCAGACAAGGAAGATGCTGGGGTCTGGGCACAGCCTGGGTGACTCACCGGTCCCCAGGTACTGGCTGGCTCAGGGATGTCCCAGCTGCCACTGGGCTCCCATGTCACCCAGCCCCACCACCTTGCCATGTTATCCCTCTGGACCCTGCCTCTCTGCTCTTCCTCAAACCGCCTTCATCCCCAGATTCAGATAAAAGTCAGGTGCTCTTCTCACCAATCCCTGCATCCTCTGTCCAGCCTCCAGGGATGGAGGAGGCCTCTCTGTTCACATTACCCAAGATAGGACCACCCACCAAGATGCCTTCCCCATCCCAGGACCATATACTCAGTCCAAACTCCCAGACCAAGTACAGAAGGAAAGCCCTGCATGCCAGTTCACCTCTGGGGTGGAACTCACCCTGCACAGGGGTCTGGTAGACCTCACAGTACTCTGCCAGCCTCTGGGCCTCAGACTCCTGGCCACACAGCGAGCTGTCCACGGCATCCCGCAGGTTGAACTGGGGGGTAGAGTAAGCACAGTAGCACTCCCAGCCTCGGAGGATGGCCAAGGGGAACTCCTGCCGGGGAGGAGAAAGAGATGTGTCTCCAATGAATGATGAAAGCAGGGGCCAAGCCCTCACTGCTCAGGCACTGGGGCGATCTCTGCAGATGTCCTGCCAGCTGCTTGGGATCAACATGGGTGTCTGTGCGTCCTTCCAGGGCCAGGCACTGAGCCCAAACCTGGGGAGACAGCTCAACAAGATGGGACTCTGCCCTCCAGCAGCTCACTGCCAGCCAGTGACAAGCCATAGTTAACACCAGAGTGCAAATGGTGCTTCTAGGAGGGGTAACTCCAGTGGGGGGACTGGAGCTGAGATCTTGGAGACATCAGGAGTGCTGGGGAGAGAACGGCACTCCAGGTCAGGGAATCACATGAACGCACGTGTGCGGGGTTGAGAATGGCACAGAGAAGCCCACCCAAGGGCAGCTTAGTGAGGTGCTCAGCATCTTTAACCAACAGACCATGGAATTCCTGCCAGCCCTCCCTGGAAAGAGATGACCTGACCCCTGTTTCTGCAGTCCTGCTTTGGGGTGGTGGGCAGGGTGGATGACAGTTTCCCACACAGCCTCTTTTCAGGATGGCAGGGGTGGACAAGGGCAGGCCTTGATTGCTCTGAGCTGATCCACTCTATGGGGACTTCCTGAAATCTGCCAGAGTTACGAAAAGGACAAGTCGCTCCTCACAGTCTCTATTTATTTTTTAATATTTGTTTATTTGGCTGCACCGGGGCTTAGTTGCCACATGTGGGATCTTTAGTTGCAGAATGTGGGATCTAGTTCCCTGACCAGGGATCGAACCTGGGCCTCCTGCATTGAGTGCACGGAGTCTTAGCCACTGGACCGCCAGGGAAGTCCCACCTGGAAGTCTTTTACGTACATTTTCTTGGTTCCCTCTGGGCAAGAGGCTGCAACCACCACACAGTGGTAAGAGCTGGGGCGCTGGTCTCTGGAAACCTGAATGTGAATTCAGGTTCACAGGCTGGATAACCTTGAACCTCTCTGAATGTCACCATGGAACAAAGGTAATAAAACCCACCTTGCACATGCGTTGTGAAAACTAGATGTGCGTGTGTGCTCAGTAGATTCAGTTGTGTCCGCCTCTGCAACGCTATGGACTGTAGCCTGCCAGGCTGCTCTGTCCATGGGATTTCTCCAGGCAAGAATACTGGAGTGGGTCGCCATTCCCCCTTCCAGGGGATTGTCCCAACCGAGGGATTGAACTTGAGTCTCCTGCGTCTCTTGCATTGCAGGTGGATTCTTTACCCACTGAGCCACCTGGGGAGCCCGAAAACTAGATGAGAAAGGTCCAAATTGCCCAACACTGGGCCTGGCACGCAGTAGGTATTCTCACAGAGGAATGGGATATCCTCTGCATCCTTCCCCCCAACCCTGTGGGCATCAGCCAAGGCTCACTCAACAAGTCCTCCACCCATCTCTCCCACACCTGTTACTTGAACACCTACTGTGTGCAGGGCACCGCGTACCAGGACACTCAGCCCCGTGGACACTCTGCTTCTCCCATGCCTCCTGCAAACAATGAGCGATTCGAGTCCCCACCCCTCCCCCAGGCAGAGAGATGAGAGGAGTCTATTGAGTGTGTGCGAGGAGGTAGTGGGTGGAGAAAACTTCTCCCTGCTCGGGGGAAACGCTGAACAAACCTTTTTATTTTTTGCCCACAGCAAAAATTTCATAAATAAATAAATAAAGGAAAATCAATAGCGTTTTCTGAGCGTGGCTTGGCAGAGCCAAGGATCTTGACACTCAGAAAAGACAATGGATGGTGTCCCAGCCAGGGAGGGTGATGCAGAGCCTGGGGGTGGGGCAGTCCCTTAGGAGGAAGGGTGAGGGGAGGTTTTCCCCCATGGAGGGTGCTCTCCTGGACACAGGGGGGTTGTTCCCTCAGGTGCCTTGCAGCCCCCATGAAGGCCCCTCCCCACCTCCCACCTCCGTCAAGCCTCAGGGGAGGCTTCGCCTCTGCGAAAATGTGCCCAGAATTTCACCGAGGGTCAGGTCTACATCTCCTTCTTAGGGTTCCCCCCACATGAGGGCAGGAGACAGGATGCTTCCACTATTCTTACACACCCCTGCACACACACACACACTCACACAGCCTGCTTCCAGAGTACAGTGCTCCCTCTTGCACTAGAAAAGCTCTTCAACATTCTATGAGATCGTAAGCAAGTCACCTCCTTTTTTGAAACCTTAGCTTCTCCATCTGTAAAATGGACACATTCCTTGAGTTGTCCTGCCTAGAAGAGTCAGAGGATCTCATTTCTCTCTCTCTGATCCACCACAAGGACCAGTTTGACTCGGACATCTATCCCCCCATGCTTTTTCTGGACAAGGCGTGAGTTGAGGATTTTTTCCTGGATGGGAGGCTGGGGGCAAGCAGTCACTTTGCGTGTCCATGAGTTCATGTCCAGGGGCACCAGCGAGGAAGCACTGGGTAGGAGAGAAAACACCATGTTTGCAATGCAACAGACCTGGACTCGAATCCCAGGGCAACAGTTGAGTATCTATGTGACCTCGGGTCAGTAACCGGGCCCATTCAAGTCTCAGTTGTCTCATGGGTCATCAGAGGGCAATAATATTAATGCCATAGAGTGTAGGGAGATGGAGGGAAGATGATGCATTAAAAGCAGTAGATGCATATAGTAGGTGCTCGCCTACTCCTAGCTCTTAAGACTTTTCATCACAGAGGTAGGCCGCAGACCACCCTCTGGACACTCAGAGCATGTGACAGTCTGGTTCCTAAAATTCCCACTCTGGCTCCCCCTCCAAGGCCCCGAAAGCTCAGGATCAAGCAAAGGTTGGAAGCCCTTCTCCCAAGCAGCACTTGTGGTCCTTAGTTATTTATTCTTTTTTTTTTTTTGGAATGTGATTGCCTTACAATGTTGTGTTAGTTTCTGCTGTATAACAAAGCGAACCTACTACATGTATACACATACCCCCTCCCTCCTGGACCTCCCTCCCTCCCACTCTCCATCCCACCCATCTGGGTCATCACAGAGCACCAAGCTGAGCTTCCTGTGCTTTATAACAGGCTCCCACTAGCTATCTGTTTGACACATGGTATTGTATATATGTCAATCCCCATCTCCCAATTTGTCCCACTCCCATCTTCCCCCGCTGTGTCCACAAGTCTGTTCTCTACTTCTGTCTGTGTCTCTATTCCTGCCCTGCAAATAGGTTCATCTGTCTCATTTCTCTTGATCAGTCACAGAAAGAAAAGAACTGCTTTGAGGACTCAGTGGCCCTCTAACCCCGGAACCAGGACCCCCTTGGCCACAGCTGCCGTTGCTGTCAGAGCGGCAGTGACAACCAGCCCCGGCACCTGGGGCCACTGGGCTTGCAAAGAGTGGACAATAGCCTGACAAGCCCCATCAGTATCTGTGACTAGACTCCACCCGCCCCGAGGGCCCCATGTCATTTCTCAACAGAAAGCGAATCTGTGTCCTGACCCTCAATCAGAAGGCCGCTGGCTTTCTGGAAGCCAGCTCTCCCGCTGCTGTGAGTTAGTGAAAAGCCATCACAGGAACTGCGACCTCCGGCCTCTCCCACTGCCCATCCATCCTCTCCCGCAAAGCCCTCATCCCACCTCATCCCAGACGGACACCTTCATCACAGCGAGCGGCGGAAACCAGAAGCCGGGTACCAGCCAGCAGAGTGCACACCGCTCTCTGCATCTGTGTTCCTGCTCTTCCGCAGACACTGGCTGGATCGTGTCCTCTAAACTTCCCATATTGACGCCCTCACCCCCAATACTTCAGAATATGACTGGATGTGGAGACAGGGCCCTTCAAGAGGCAATGAAGTTAAAATGGGGCCACTAGGATGGGCCCCCATCCAGTCTGACTGGCATCGTTATAAGAAGGTATTAGGACCCAGACACACACAGACGGAGTGATGACACAGGGAAATGAAGGCCATCGGCAAGCCAGAGAGACAGGCCTCGGAAGAAGTCAACTCTGCCAACACCTTGATCTTGGACTTCTAGCCTTCAGAACTCAGAGAAGATAAATTTCCATTGTTTAAACCACTTGGCAGTCTGTGGAACTCAGTTATTGCAGCCGAGCGGATCACTTCCTGTGCTGTCTGCCTGGACTGTCTTTTCCAAGACACCCTCATGGTTTCCTCCCTCGCTTTCTGTAAGACCTCTTCCATGAGGCCTTCCAGGGCCACCCCATTTCAAGTTGCAAATCCCTCCTGCCATCACTGAGACACGCCAGAACCCCTCACTGTGTTGTCTGCTTTTGTTTCATGCGTGTAACTTCCGTCAGCAGAATGCTCTGACCTTCTCTCAGTTCATCCTACCCTCTCCTTCTCCCACCCCGCCCCATGTCCACAAGTCCTTTCTCTACATCTGTGTCTCTCTTCCTGCCCTGTAAGTAGGTCCATCATGATTTGAAAGAGTAGCACTGACATGTAAACACTACCATGTGTAAGACTGACAGCTAGTGGGAAGCACAGGAGCCTCAGCTCCTGCGATGGCCTAGAGCGGTGGAACGGGAGTGGGGTGGAGGGGTATATGTGTGCATATAGCTGATTCAGGTTGTTGTACAGCAGAAATTAACACAGCACCTTAAGGCAGTTATACTCCAATTGAAAAAAAATCAGCAGTAAATATTAAAAATAGAAGTTTGTCAATGAAAAAGAAAAGAATGCTCTGACCTTGATGTACTACCCAGTCTGTCTGATGAATGGTTATCAGGACCCATCGCACCTCCCTCCCACCAGTTTCCTCGGCCCCTTCCCACTCATCTCTCCCTCCCTCCTCCTAGTCTGATTTCCATCACCACAGATGAGTTTTGTCTATTCTAGAATGGCCTATAAATAGAATCCCTCAGCGCATATGTTTGTGAGTCTGGTTCCTTTCAGGAAAAAAATATTTTTTAAGTCCACGCATGTTGTTTTATCTGGCCATAGATTGCTCCTTTATATCGCTGAGTATTATTCCGTGTGTGGACATAACAGTTTGTGGATTCATTCACTTGATGGGCCCCTGGGCTGCTTCCAG